AGAGACTGATCCACTCAGGTCCTGCTCATTTAGGTTCAAAGGGTACACTGAAGTTGTACGTCAGACTACAGTATAGGAAAAGAGATTCCACCTGAACATTTGGAAGAACTTCATGACCGTAGAAGCTGTTTGACAGTGGAATATGCTGCCTCGTAGAATGGTGGAGTCCCCTTCTATGGAGGTTTTTAGACAGAGGCTGGATGGCCATCTGTCGAGAGTGCTTTGATTGTGTCTTCCTGCATGGCAGGGGTTTTGACTGGATGGCCCTTGAGGTCTCTTCCAACTCTATGATTCTATGAATGGGAGCCCTTTCACACTACACAGTTGTAGCACTATGATTCCACTATTATTGTCATGACTGTATCCCATGGAATCCTGGGGTTTGTAGCTGGTTTAGGCCCTAGAACCCTCTGTCAGAGAACTGTAACTATCTCACCCTAAAATGCATACCCTCCCAACATTTCACAGATGTAAGCTGTGACACATGTGGATGAAAGCAGGACCACAAAGTGCTGTCAAAATGGCCAAAGTTATTAATAAGGAAGAACAGACAAACTAGTAATCCTGCTAGGGGTACAGAAACAAGTCCCAATCAGTCCAGTGCCCCAACACATCACAATGAATAGATCCCAAGTTCCAATGAACCTGGATTCCCTTCTCCTGAACTCCAGTCTTACCCTCCTCTTTCTTTGCCTGGCAGGCCAAAAGCGCAGTCCGAAATGAGGTCCGTGTGCGGATTGAAGGATGCACTGGCTTACGCAGTCGCTGGCTTGGGTCGCAACCCAGCCCATATGCCATGTACCAGTTCTTCACCTTTCCAGACCATGACACGATGATCATACCTGCAAGCAACAACCCACACTTTGGCGACCTGCAAACTTTTGCTTTGTGCGTCACACCTGAGTTACACCATTACCTGCTTGTAGAGAGTCTGTGGGTGTATGTATTTGATGACGAGGATGAGGAGCCTGGCAGCTACCTGGGCAAAGCCCAAGTCCCACTTTTGCCACTAGCAAATGGACGCAGCATCTCAGGTGAGAGACAGGCACATCTTCAATCCTTGGACCTGTATATACTATGTCAGCCTGAACACACAACAACAAACCCTGGTTCTGGTATTGAACATGCTGGGGAAGACAAAAGGATATGAACCAAAATACCACTTCATTTTACCTTAAGGTTTTTAGTGCAGTGATGATAGGATCATATGGCCCTCTAGAAGTTGTTGGACTGCTAGTTTCTGCAGCCCTAGCAAGTAGAACCAGTGGTGAAGCATTCTGGGAGTACGTACCCTCCATACTGTCCCAATTTGGCAAAGGCAGTCACAAATACTCTTCTGTTGCCCTACTTCTCCAGCTGTTTTTTTCAGAGCCCTCCTCCTATTTTCCCGCTTTATCCTCAGCTTACTTTAGTTGCAGGAAAATGAGT